TGATCCCAGGTGTCCCGGAACTGACAGCTGCTGACCACCGGCGGCTGGATCCCCGCGGCGCGACCGGTCCTTCCAGGCCCGATCCGCGCCTTCCAGGGCTGCCGGAGCCACCAGACGGTCGTCAGCGTCCCGTCCCATACGATGGACCGAGAAGCCGAAGCGGCTGGAGAACCTCGTCACTGCGTTCCCCGTCCGCTCGGCCGCTCGAGCACCCCAGTGGGGGAGCGAGCGGGAGGGGGGGGGATCGATAGTCTCAGAGACACTGGACACGTTCTTTTTCTCGGACTTGCTTTTATTGCGTTGTTCGTCGGTTTGTACATAACTTGTTGTCTAGGTGTTGTGTGTTGTTGTTGGTATTTTTTGCGTGTTGTTGTCGGTTTGTACATAGGTTGTTGTTGGTGTTATGTCGTTGTGTTGTTGTTGTTGTGTTACGGGGCACACTGGGGGGGGTTGGGTTTTTGTTGTGTTACTATTGTTGTTGTTGTTGTGTTGTTTAGCAGCCGGGCCGGCTGCGAGCTATGTGGGAGGGGGTGATGTAGTGGTGATACGCGCTGACAGTGGGGATCGTGGGGCAGCGCGTGGTGATTGGCTGTGTGCCAGGGACGCGCGCTGACGGTGAGAGATCACAGGGCAGCGCGGGGTCATGGGTTATGTGGTGGTGATTGGCTGTGTGTTGGTGACGCGCGCTGACAGGGAGTGATCGTGTGGCAGCGCGGGGCGATTGGTTGTGTAGTGGTAACACGCGCTGGGAAAACGGATCGTAGGAATAGCGCGCCGTGATTGGCCGACTAGTGGGCGCTCACATCGCGGTCCGCAAGAGGGCTATATAAGGCGGTGCGCGCGGGCGCTCGGGGAGTTGGTGACCAGCGAAGATTGAAGACGGCGGAGGAAGAGATAGGGCCCTGCGGTACCTAGTCCCGCTGTCCTTGTAAGGACCGGGGCTCTGTGTGACCCAGAGGCGGGACCCTGAGACCCGGGGCCGAACGTCCGTGTGAGGGCCGGCTCTCGGGACCCAGAGGTTGTGACCCACGCCCAAGCTGGGGTGGGTCTGTAGGCTCCACGGACGTTACGGGGCTGGAGTGTAGTGTGAGCATGCAGTGTGAGCATGCAGCGTGAGCCATAGTCACTACACGTGTCAGTGAAGTGTGTAGTGGGAGAGGTAGTGACCACACGTGTCAGTGAAGTGTGTGTAGTGTGAAGAATAGTGACCACACGGTGTATCGAGACAAGTCAAAGTTTAATAAAAAGTGTGCTACCCGTCAAGAGGTTTCCTGCCGTCATTCTGAATACTTCACATGTACGGACAGTCCTCGACTTATGAACACAATTACCGTATTTTCCCGCATATAACCCGCGGGGTATACCACTTTTTACAAACAAAACAAGACCCTGCGGGGTATATGGAGGTGCGGGCTATCCCAAAAAGTATTTTACACTTGTGACATGTCATAACTCGTTTGATTTTTTCATGGTAGGACTATCCACTATGCAACACTTACCTTAGACTAAAGCACTGCTGAATAAACCACTCACACTAAAATTGCACAAGTTATCACGTTTTAAATGATTCGAATTGTTTGTACAATGATACGACAATGTTTGAAGTGGGCGCAGTTTGTTTACCGGCGACGGGAGAGCTGGGGGAAGGGAGAGGTGGGGGGCGAGGGAATTGCGGTACGATAGTGCCGCTATTGTTTGCGCAGTGCGCAATCTACCAGTGCTAAAACTGTACTTACTTATCTACTAGTTACGTGTCACTTTTTTATTGGATATTTACTTTTGTTACTTATTTACTGTTTTAAGTTCACTCGTTTCCGGTTAGTTTGAATTATTTGTGCACGTTATGATTTTAATGTTAACAATGATAGTGGAATGCATTACAAATGTAAACTTCGTATTAATATGATGGAATTAAGCTGCGGTGACGACGTTGAAGATATGAATGCATGCGGGGTATATGGAGATGCGGGCTATCTGAAATTTGTTTTACACAAAACGCATTTTTTCTGGGTATATGCGTGGGTTATATGCGTATGCGTATGTGGGCTATGTGGGCTATATGCGGGAAAATACAGTAGTTCCTGAGCCCCATTCGTAAGTCGAATGGTTCGTAAGTTGTAACAGTAATTTACATATATCTAAATGCTCCCATACACAAGCACTCACTCCTGGCACGAAGCTGACTCATTACATCTCGCGGAGGATCATTCAGCTGGAATAAATAGTTCCGCGGTTCAATTTGCAAGTGAGAGTTTGTGTTTTAAGTCAATGTAAAAAATATATGTTTCTTCATGGTTCGTAAGTGCGGTTATTCATAAGTATGATTGTTCATAAGTTAAGGACTGCCTGTAACATGTTGCGTATTAAAGCCACGCCAGGTCTCAAGTTGACCCGTGTGAAACATACGGTCAGTGGAAATTGTCACGTTTGTATAGTTAACAAACTGTTGACGAATAACAGCCTTACTCATACGGGGCCGTTGCAGAATTTGTTGAAATCCAATTAGAATTTTGTTTGAATTGCTGAATGAGCATTATCACACGAATGTAAAAATATGCAATGTGTATAAATGTGTTTCTTGTAATATTTCTGGAAATTATACAGGTGTTAAGATGTCCAAACGTGTTACCTTGCAATAGGTGTCTATTTGGTGTTTGAACATCTTAACATCTCCTGTATTATTGACATGAAGGGTAAAGCATTTTCTTTTTAAAAATCATATTAATACTGGCAAAAAGGGTCCTGCAGATAAATGTGTTTCTGTTTGTAATAAAGTAAATGCACAAATTATTGGAATTTCACGGCAGGGCAAGGCAAGTAACTTGTGCATTCTGAATGAAGCGCGAGGGCAAAAGCAATGGAGACGGAATTCGTGAATTATTGGTTGCTCTCGGTCGAGCATGTGTACGCGAAGGAATAGGGGCAGGCTACCTAATTGGATTTGTGCAAGCAGAGGTCAGCAGCCAGGAGGAGAGCCTAAAGCCACGGGGGTGGAGCGCCACCAGTCGATATCGTTGGCTGCGCAGCGATCTGCAAAAAATACAGGAAGTGATGAAGTGATGGCATAAGTAATTTTGGCCGCACCTATTCAATAACTTGGTTACTATTAATTATTGATATTGATTTTTTGTTTTGGTCCTTTCAAGGCTACGAAAGGGGTTAGCTCCATTATATCTTGGCGATCTGCTGAAACCGTATGCCCCTGTCCAGGAACTTAGATCCGCCAAATCCAGACACCTGAGTGGTACCAAGGACAAATCTGCCTTCAATGTGCGATAGAGCATTCAATAATCGGGGACCTTACTTGTGGAATGTCTTGCCCCCAGTCCATTAGGAATGCTCATGTCAGGCGAGGTTTTTAAGGCTCATCTGATAACACATTTATTTTCTCTTGCACAATCGTCTGTGTAGGGGTTGTTTTTCTCTTTGCTTTAATGTTAAGATTTTTACTGGGATTGTGTTGTAAAGTGCCGTGCGGTGTGATTGGCGCTATGTACAACTTGAGTTTTACTTACTTAAATAACTAAAATGCTACATTCGTGGGGGGTTCCCAACCTTTCTGATCCGGGGGACCACTGTCGTCACTACCAAGCTGAAGAGCAATTCTCACAACCAAATATAGCAATAGACATTTACGTTTTGTTTGGGAAATACGCTGAACACCATCGGAGAAACATTTAAAGGCCTCGAAATAAGAAACGAGGAAGTGAGAATTTGTCATTGGTTCTTTACCCTTCTATCTGGCAACAAAACTGACACCTTTTTGCAAGGAGTCATGTTTGCATAGACCGCAATACCTGCAGTCATAATACAAACAAAAGAACATAACTCTGATAATGTGCACTGTCCTTGAAGTTGATTGGTCCACACCCGAGACAGCTTTCCTTCGAGCCTAGTCTCATATGGGTTGGACCAGATGACGCCAAAAGGCGCACTAGGTGCGCCTTTTGGCTGGTCCAACCCATATGAGATTAGGCTCGAAGGAAAGCTGTCTCGGGTGTGGACCAATCAACTTCAAGGACAGTGCACATTATCAGAGTTATGTTCTTTTGTTTGTATTATGACTGCAGGTATTGCGGTCTATGCAAACATGACTCCTTGCAAAAAGGTGTCAGTTTTGTTGCCAGATAGAAGGGTAAAGAACCAATTATCATATTTTTACTGGCAAATGAGGTCCCCATAGTGAGAATTTGTCTTTAGCTTATTGATCTCCCCCCCCCCCGCATTTCTGATTAGCATGGTTTTCTACGTACAGTGCAAAAGAAGTTCAACATACATACATTAACCGTGTCACCTAACCATACTTCCTTGAACAGGTACCATGACACCACAGAGAACAAAGTATCAGTTAATGTCATTAATTAATGAATGTATACAATATATTATTCTAATTTATGAGGGCCGATTGTTTCCATTATATTGCATTCATTATCCTGCATCACAACAATCGACTTTTAAACGGAGACGCTATCTACACTGGAAATTAATTTACTGACATTCCACGTGTCCATAAAAAAACCATCGTGCACTCTTAATCATAAATTATCATTTATCTACTAGCCTATAGTTCTAACATTATCTACAAAGTGCTTGCCACAAATGAACCACAATACCTTGCTGATCTCGTTAAGGAGCATAAACCATCACGTGAACTTCAGTCATTGTCGCAGCAACGGCTTTTGGCCAGCCATCGAACAAAGTCGGTCACTGCATCATGCACTTTAAGATGCGTTTCTGCGTCCATCTGGAATGCTCTTCATTCAGATATGAGGAAGCCACTGGCAGCTATGCACTTTTAAATATAGATTGAAAACTCATTATTTGAAAACTGCTTTTTATGTTTAGTTTTTGTTGTCCTCGCCCCCCCCGTACCGCCAATTAGCTCGGTTGGCTACGTACGTCGCGAAAGAAGTTCAAAATACGTGTGTACATAACTGCTAACCGTGATTTGATCTATCGATTCGCGTTATCTGTGCATGTCTCCCTCTTGGCTCCCACAGCACTTCGGGGGACAAGAGCCCCTACGTGAAGCGCTGCTGCAAAGGCTTCTGCATCGACATCCTCAGGAAGCTCTCCACCACCGTCAGGTTCACCTACGACCTTTACTTGGTGGTGAACGGGAAGCATGGAAAGAAGATACAGGGCGTGTGGAATGGCATGGTTGGAGAGGTGAGTGTCTTCCCTGAATTCATCACTTGGTCCGGCTGTGGTCCAGTTTGACATTCGCACAGCTGTGCATGGGTCGAACTCACTTTTTTTGATCGGGATGTTCATTCATCAATTAAACTTTATTCTTAAATTGATGACGTAACGTTCTGACCTGCCCCTACTAGACATCCGTGAAAAAGAGCTTCATAGCTCATCAGATTCCTCAAGCATAAATAAATATTCTGGTAATATGAATGATGCATGCAGTGAATCGTGCGTGTAAAAAATTGATTATTTATTTTCCTTACAAATCAGACTTCAAATGTCACATTGAGGTTCATGGGAACAATTAAGACTACGAACAATACACAACAAACGAGGAAAAACAAAGAAACATGGGAATATGAAAGAACAAACAAGTGATTGTTGAATCAAATCGGGTGTGTGCTTTAATCAAGGCAGGGGTGAATGGATAGGTGGATTGTTCAATAGTGACCTGGTGTCGTGCTCAATAGTGACCAGGTGTCACATGTTCTGTCCGAATGCGGGATTGCAGGTGGAGCAGAAGAGAGCGCACATGGCGGTTGGCTCACTCACCATCAACGAGGAACGCTCGCAGGTGGTTGACTTCTCTGTGCCTTTCGTGGAGACCGGGATAAGCGTGATGGTGTCCAGGAGCAACGGGACGGTGTCGCCTTCTGCATTCCTCGGTGAGACCTCCACGTGATCTTCTTGTGTCCCCCTCCACCCCCACCCTGTTGAGAGGGAAGCCTTTCATATCCAAGTTCAGATGTAATTTGTGAGGCAGAGTGTGCACAAATTGTGAGTTTTACTGGAGGAGGATGAGAAGGAGGAGGAGCGGTGGTTCAGCGGTTTGGCAAACTTTGCTTATAACCATTTCCCGTTCCGATGATGGACGTGTGTCATCAGTTTTTCTTCTGATTCATAACTGAACATGTACGTGTACATCATCAAAACGAAACTGGAAGAAAAACTAAAATTAAAGAACTTAATCAGTACAGAAGCTCCCACAAGGCCATGCGGGAGGGTGTGTGGGACGGTTTGGCCCGGCTATTGTAGAGTGCGGCAGTCGTGCCACTACGGTTCTCTGCGGTAAGTACAGTGGCTTTAAAAATGACGGCGCTACGCCTCTCTAAATAAAATTAAAGCTGAGCCGCTTGTGCGTTCCGAGATCCAGAGAGGTTAACAGGGACACCCATCCTGCAACATGCAGACGTCTCGGAACGGGAAAGGGTTAACCATGGCCACCTGAGCCGGTCCTGGGCATCACCTCTTCACCAACTCGCACCGACTCCAGAAGTAGCTATGGCCTTGGATTAAAGGTGCAACACAGAGGGCAATAGGAATTTAATGGCAGCCTGGGATATGCAAGTTGGAAGTTTTGGAGGGAGAAACGTGTACTGCAGATGTAATCAAGGAGTCGAGAATGCCTCTCAATAAATGGGACGCACGCACTCTGCACGATGAGGCTGGTTACCAAAACAGGCGTTGGTAGTGGCACCCAGGGGTTGGCGACCCATGGGAGGACCTTTATCCAGATGGTGTGAACCGTTGCCGTAAGAGGTCACGTGTTAACTGTGCAACAGAAGGGAGGAATCAATAGTGAGATGCGGTGGCATCAAAGAAATCGGCCATGTTGGCTTCTTGATTTTGTGTGATAATTCCCGAGTCCAAAAGATGAGACACTACATCCTTTGATTCGATATAAAAATAAACTTTTTCATATTTGACCAGGTAAGGTTTTTTTTCAGAAGCGAACTGACCATAACAAATGATAGATCAACAAAGTGGCTATTCATGAAATTTATGGCACCCAAATACTCTAACACGTTTCTAAATCTGGAGGGAAAAATCTGAGAATCTGGAGAAAAATCTACATGACCACGGGGAGAGAGACATGCAAACTCCAAATATACAGCAGGCATCAAGGTCGGGATCGAACCCATGACCTTCATACCAACGAGGAAATTAACATATTTCCACCGTGTAGAAATGGAGAATAGTGCCTGTGGACACAGCCATACCGGTTTACACACATTTTTCAGTGGCTTCACAGAATCGGACTGGCAAGAGTCCTGAACATGATGTCAGGGTCACCCTGTCGCGGTGTATCCACGAGGCAGCGTTGTCACTACAGTGCTCACTCAATCACCAAGCTGTGTTAACGTAAATCGAGTTAAATACCACTGAACCAAAGTGTACTCAACTATGGACCCCCAAAACCCTCTCTGCCTGTCATGTATAAGGAGTCGCACTGCAGACTCGATGCTTCAGTCTGTTTTGTTATCCGTGGTCTGTTTTTAGAGGTCCACATCTGTATTATGCTCGTCCTGTATTGCTACAGAGGACAATAAAAAAACGTATTCAGAGTAATGACAAAACTATGCTCCCAACATATTATTAAGAAGTCTGCGAATCAGTTCATTCTCCGGTAAAAAAACTAAACTCCCATTTGTGAACACCTGTAAAACCCTTTTGGTGCACTCCATATATTATCTGCACCATGCATGCGTTTATGTATGCTTGCGCACACGCCTCTGTCATTTTTATTTTTTTACAATTTGACAGATTTACTCACAGAGAACACTGTAATGTTTTTGCATTTGTACGCAACTGGCAGATGTATGGTAGACATCGAATGATGCCTCGACTGCACTCGCACATAAAAAATAACCATTATCTTTTGGCCAACTCGGATTTTATGCAAAAGCATCCCACTTATCTTGGCGATGCTTTTTTTTCGCGGAGCATTGCACCATTTGACCGGAGAGGGGCCTTGTAGCCTCGCCCCATGAGCGAACGCACGAACGAACGAACACATCTCAAGGGATTTTTTGTGGTTTCCTTTCAGAGCCCTTCAGTGCTGCCGTCTGGGTGATGATGTTCATCCTCTGCCTCATGCTGTCCGCCATCGCGGTGTGGCTCTTCGAATACCTGAGCCCAGTGGGGTTCAACAGAAACCTGGCGAGTGGGAAAGGTAGGTGATAATAAAGCAATGCAAGTGAAGGAATTCGCGTTGTCACGGAAGAAATACATCCTCATTTCCTACTGTGCATCGCAAGGCAACTGTGGTTATTTTTCTTTGGTGGCAAAGTCAATCACAATTTTTTTATTCCAATTTTTTTTTTCGAATTAGGTCATCATGCGAGTACAATGTCAAATAGGGCCTATGCATCGTCCACCATCGAACAAAGCCAAACAAATCGAGTTGTCACGTGTGGCAAATGCACCCACCGATTTTGTTTTCAGCAAAAACCGGTGACGTTAAAAAGCGATTAGAATTTTAAACTAAAACAAAAAAACTAAACTATGTTTTTTATTTATCAGGTAAGGCCCACTGAGCTAATATTGCTCTTTAACAGAAGCAACTTGGCCACAAATGATAGCTCAACGAAGTAGCTTATCATGTGGACATTTGTAGCAGACAAATACTCTAAAGTGCACGTTGTTTCTAAATGTGGAAGGAAAAACTGGAGGACACGGAGAAAAATCCAAGCGACCATGAGGAGAACATGTAAACTCCAAATATAGAGGCGTCAGGGTCTAGATCGAACCCACGAGCTCCTGCATACCAGGCAAGGTAGTTAACATCTCGCCATGCGTTATGCACCAAATTTCGCTGGAGGATTACATCCAGCATCACAGATATTAGCCACGAGCTCAGAGCTCGAGGCCTTTCAGTGTAACCGGTTTTGCTGAAAAACTAATTCTATTGGCACGTTTGTTCGGGTTAGGTGACAACTTGATTTGTTTGGTTGTGTCGGGTGGTGGAGGGTTATAGCTCTAACTGACGTAATGCCCAGATCACGAAGTCGGTTGTGAAAGCCTACATCTGAAATTATAGCTTCTTGGATTTAAAATAAAAATAATGGGACAACCCATAAATCTTGAACGTAACAGTGATAAGTTGAATACTATGTGATGGAATTTTGCATAAGTGCTTTGCATGCAATTTGTAAACATTACATCATCTGGTGTAAAGGCCGAACGTGGGCTTTCTGTGGCCGTGGTATGTAAGCGGCGTAATGTGCAGTCCAACGCTGCACTCTCTACATGCACACAAAAGACAAAGATCACCCTTATAACCATAACAGACTTGGGGCAAGTGCTGTTATAGAGCACCTATGAACGGCCGGCACAAGAAGTTGGATGGCCAGCAACACGCCTGGCTGCCTTTGTCTCCCTTGTGATGATGTTTGCACACCGCACCAGGTACTCGTTTTAGGCTAAGTTGACCTAGAGGAGGCTCAGAACCGGTTTAAATAATTGTCACTGGTGTTGGTGGTCGTGAGCAGGCATCGAACTCGGGTCGCTGGGTTCGTAGCGCAGCGAGGTAACCACTGTACACACACGCACACACACTGCTCACCCCTGCAAGCAAATTCAAGTGTTCAGCACTGAGGACTGGGGAGCCTTTGCGTCACCTCCCTATGTGGACGGGGGGGGGGGCTGCTTTACAAATTCGGTTGCTGCAAATGGAGCCCTGCACACTTACGCACGGCTGCTTCGGCGAGCACCACACACACAACACCATTCACCATTCACAGCCACTGCAAAGCGAAGAAAAGCATCAATGTTTCAGCCTACAGGCCTTCTTCAGGGAATACTGGGGTGTACAGTAATGAAGTATATATGTGTATATATTGGAAGAGGTGTGTGGATTTTTATGAATCCGAGGTTTGGTTATGGAAATCGTTTCGGAATGCATTTCACAGCTGAATCCAGAGAGGGCTTTTGAAGGTGGAATACAAAAGATGCGCGGAATTCATTTCCTGCATTCCTCCTTCTGGACGGGGCTGCGTAGGCAGCACGACCGTTATATTTTTGATCATCTAAGCCAGTGTCCACAACTTGTCCCTCATTCTATATGATGCAGAGTTGTCCAACTCGCGCCGTCCATTACCCATCATCACTCACTTTCATCTTGGCATTCGAGCGGAAGCACAACGGTTAATTTCAATGAAAAATACCCCACCATGGCGGTGAGTACGAATTGTTTGTTATGGACGAACACATTGTGGATGAGACAAAACAGTCTGCAAAGAGTAGGTCTTGTATTGAGGCTGTAGTTATTGTTGGCTCCAAGCCTCAAGACAGGCCTTTCCTGGACCCGGCTACAGCTCCTCTCTAAAAAGGGTGCCGCGGTGGTGAGATGTTAACTCCCTTGCCTGGTATGCAGGAGGTTGTGAGTTAGATCCCGACCCTGACGCCTGTATATATGGAGTTTGCATGTTCTCCCCGTGGTCGCGTGGATTTGTCTCCGGGTCCTCTAGTTTTCCCCCTTCGTTGAGCTATCATTTGTGACAGTCAGGTCGCTTCTGAAAAAGAGCTATATATAGTTCAGTGAGCCGTACCTGGTAAAATAAAAAATTTAGCTTAGTACTTTCGTTTTTGTTTAATCGGAGGGGGGGGGGGCAGTAGAGCTGTTGTGTGGGGGCCACTGTAACGCAACACACCACTAAGGAGAGTGACCTTTGGTGGGGAGCCAAAGGTACGTTTGGCGGTGCAGGGCCCAGCACAGCAGCTCCTTAGCACTGGACCCGGTCTCTCCTCGGCCTGTTTGTGAGAGAACGAATCGGGTTGAAGTTGCCTCCACGGACCTTTGTGTGGTCACGTCATGGGAGCCGCGTTCTACGGATATGGAACGTCCCTTGGCTGGTTTGGTGAGGTTTTTGTAAGCATGCATGCATGTATGTTGGACTTCTTTCGCACTCTACGTATCCCACCGTGCTAATCGGAGGTGCCGGGGGGGAAGGACAACAATCAAAATGCAAAAAGCAGTTTTAAAGAAATTAGTTTTCAATCTAAATTGAAAAGTGCATAGCTCCAGTGGCTTCCTAATATCTGAAGGAAGAGCGTTCCAGACGTCCGCAGTAGCGCATCTGAAAGTGTGCGATGCGGTGACCGCCCTCGTTAGATGACTGGCCAAATCCGCTGCGAGGATGACCGGAGCTCGCGCGTGATGGTTTATGTACCTTGACGAGATCTGCAACGTTGGCACCTCTCAAGTGCTCCCCTGTCAGCCTTCTTCGGGTTTCACCAACGAACGCGGCCCAGGGACACCTTACGCAATAAGATGCAGCACACAAAGTGTCGGGCGTGGTGCACGTGAATCCGCGTCTCACGTGAAAGCATCTCTCCAGCGCCGCCACAAAGGTGGGACTTTGCATGCAATATTTTTTCAGCAGATGTCGCTGCCAGATTTGGTCTCAAGTATGTCCCAGGTTCTGCTAAATTATTTTTGAGTGTAACTGCGCCTTAGAACATTGGCCACTGCCTATAACTACCCATTGCCAGCACGGTCGCTGCATGGCACTGCTTTCCCATCATGCCAGAGGTTGTGGTAATGCGATGCATTAGTGTCATCTCTATAACCTAGGTCACCTGAGTAAATGAAATTGGTATTGCGGGGCGTGGCGGCGCGTGCCTGTAATGCAGCAACTTATAATAATCAGGGCTCGATGAATCACAGAAATCGAACCTTGCGAGAGAGACACTTGAAGGGCAGCGGGGTGCTTGTAGGAAGCAACACAGCAGATGCTGTGTAGACTCTGATCACTTAAGTACGCATCCTAGAAGCACACACCGTGTGCTACTTGCCTGGGTAAATGAAAGCATTTACATGATTACAGAGTTATTATTTCGGGGGGAAACTGAAATTATAGGACATGGATGAATCTTAATTGATGAAATGGTTTTGTTGATTTAACCAGTTCCTGTAAAATAATGTTTCTGTAATTTATTTGGATTTTTTCTTACTTAAATACTACCTTATTTCTGTTTATTATAATATTTTGCCTGGAAATTCCCTTCAGATAGACCTCCCCATTTGCAAGCAATGTCCAGGGTGTCCACTGACACACACATAGCAAACACGTAACGACGTGCACAACCAACGACATTTAAAACATATATAAGCATCGACCTCCATCATATTTGCTAAAGGCTCACGGTGAGAACATTTCAGATGGGGGGAAGTTTCCCATTGAGCTCATAAAATGATCCATGAGCGGTGCCACCTGAACTATGACGTTCCTATGTCTGGACAAGGTAATTAATTTAAGTATTAGAGTATTAAGAGCGTAATTAAGCTGACACTTATCTCGTCTCTGTCACAGTGATGAAGTGAGGGCCAGCCCTGATCCCACGAGTCCCCCACCGCTTCTCCTCGTGAGTGCCACGGTGGCAAGATGTAAACTACCTCGCTTGGTATACAAGAGGTCGTGGGTTCGATCCTGATCCCGACCCTGACGCCTGTATATTTTGAGTTTGCATGTTCACCCTGTGGTCGCGTGGATTTTTTCCGTGTCCTTCGGTTTTCCCCTCCACATTTAAATACATGTGTTTAGAGTACTAAGCCACTTCGTTGAGCTTTCATTTGTGGCCAGGTCACTTCTGAAAAAAGCTATATAAGCTCAGTGGGCCATATCTGGTAAAATAAAAAAAAGTTTAAATAGTTAAAGTTGTTCTCAGTAGGCCGTGTAGATTTTACTTTTCTTCTTCCCCCCGTCCTGTTGGGAAACTCGAGGGAGCTCAGGGCGAGCACGGGTGCCTCGGAAGATGCAGTGTGGGCCTCAGCCTGCACCGGGTTCTTGTGTATTATTATTTGCAACATCTACATTGACATAATTTGTGTCTGTAGTAACATTACTATATTCATATTTAAAACATTAGCAAAACTACGTTAAGATAACGTTATTGGGTTTGGCATGTATGGCTCAAAAGTGTGAAAATTCCAACTTATGAGTTCCAGCCAGGGAGCCTTAACCCATCCTCCCACCTATGGTGCTTTCTCATTAAAACACAAATTCACATTTGTAAGGCGCATTCCATCCGTATATCCAAATGTGCCGTGTGGGAAGCAGGAAGTAAACCGAACCTGCAGGGTAAACGGCCAGAAATAGTGTTGGGCTAAAGAGTTTTCAAGACAGACTTCAGAATCAGAATGTTTATTTATACTGGAGGAATCCGATGAGC